GAGTTTTTGCCCTGTTAGGACGGTTTTGGGTTATGTCCCATGGCCGAGACGTTTCCACTCCTGCTTAACGCTCAGCAATTTAGGAGTGGGACGACTGGTTCGCCCGTTGTCAGTATAATGTGACCGGGTGGGGTGTCCTGTTGGATGTCTTCGGCTGTTTGCTTCAGGGAGGTAGCATTATAAAGTCGGCATCAGTTCCTCACTATCACGAGCATATCGCAGCCTCCCAAAACAAACACTCATACACTACACGCATGCATCTTGTATACAGGGGAGGCTGTCCTTTAATAACCATAGCTATTGATAGGACGTTAAACACTACTAAACTAAAGCAAACCATGCACGTGACAAATACATATCTATAGTTCTAACCATCATCTGGTTTAAGATATCTGATGCATTGATATATATATATATCATACATTACATGATATTCATCTACCAAATACTGCATATATTTCTTGAGGATATTTGACAAACTTTTATCACAGAATAGTGTGGTACCTTCATGTTTGGTGGTTTGCAAAATGACATTTTTTTGTCGGCATACCTCACACCAACGAGGGTGGAGTTGTTAACAACAAATATTCCCCCCTTTGCTAGACGTTGATTCTTTAATTTTCGTGGAGTACTTCGCCTGTTTGACCTGACAGTGTCACATGCTGCTGTTGCTTGCAGGTATTATTCATAAAACGGGGCTGCTAAAGTAATTGTCCATATAAATATTATATCCTTTGTTCAAGTATTGGGGAACAAGAAGCAACACCAAGTCATATGTAGCCCCATACGGACTGGATGGCTGCTGCTGACCATCATGGCCTGTATACAACTCCATTCGACTATAATATCGTTTTGCAGAGTAGTAAAGCATGAACATTATTTTTTAAGGCCATATTTACAAGGTTTGTCCGGACTGTATACATGAAAATGCAGATTTGCCCTCCATGGAATCATTCTTTATCAATGGCAATGTTCTTAACAGGCGTATATAAGCTCTCTTAAAATTTGCTTAATGTCCTTGTTCGGATCCCCAAGCTGCTGTAAAGAGGATAACTTGGTTGTCCCCTTGGTACTGCAATGGTGTTACCAGACAAGTGTAGAAAGCTCATCAGGACAAGAAATCTGTCTCTAGAGATAATAGTACTGATGACAACATTGGTAGACCAGTAACTTTGGATATCCAGTTGTCTCACAATACGATTGCTATATTATGCAGTTGACTCACAATGCCATTGTTATGGTAATTCGAAGGAATGATTTCATTTCTGGAATGGATGCATTATTCCAGTTTCTAAGTCTAGAAAAAGGTTGTGAAGATTCTGCAAGTAATTTGTAGCATAGTTGTTGGTTTCATCTACAACTTTACTTTACAAGTTGTATCCGACACAATATTCTAAAAATACTTAAGATACCTCAGTGTGTTTTCTTCGGGTACAGGATCAACATTTTCATTCATGCCAGCGCGACTGATGAAAATTAATGTGCCAGGCTGTCTTCCAATTTCTTGCCGACTTTTCTCCTCAAAAATGTGTCTTTACATCAGTTTCATCATCTATATCTTGTTCATCGAATCTCTCAGAATAATCACTGTCATCGTTCAAAAAATATCAGCTCAATTATAGCGCGAAACTCTGGTTGAACATTATGTAAATCGTCAGAGATTTGCGGCGTCGCCATCCTATTTACATTGATGACGAGAGCAGACACAAATAGAGCACTCGATAATTCTGAATTAGAACGCTTAGTGTGAATGAGACTTATCTTACTGACAAAATCAGTTAATATAATAATATCATTCATGTTCCAATCATTTATACAGGAAATAGTCATAGCATCAAAAGACCAAAACAAGATCGAGTGCGAACATAACAAATTGGTTCGTACTCAGTCTCTGTGTGCAAGCTCTCGATAGCTAAACAGTACGAAATATACTAAGTTTTTAATATATTACTGACGTTCCATGTCCAAACAATAGTTAAATACCTTATAAATATACAGAAGACGATGTCAATGCTACGGAACCTCTGACAGCAATAAAATCTAAAAAAGGCGATGTCAATGCTACGGAACCTCTGACGGCAATAAATCTACAGATGACTATGACAATGCTACAGAACCTCTGACGGCATCGCTGAGACCGAATATATAGCTAATAGGCTCAGAGCACATGTTGGCCATTTCGGCGGAAAACTTGAGGTAAGGTTTAAACATGTGGGTATTGTGCTGTTGAGACATAATGTATAGCTTGTAACTCGGAAGAAAAAAGGCCTTTTACAGAAGTTAACTACTTTTAATTGAACATGTAGAAACGGCAGATCATGACGTTTTTTGTTTTTCGAGAGGCCATAACTCCGCCAAATAAAGCCCGCTGAAGGTGGTCACTGATCTTTGTTGAGCCCTTAAGGCTTTAACCCTGGTACACAATATACAAATTTTGAAACAAAACAGGTTAACATTTATTGCAGTTATTGCACGGAGACGGCGGATAATGACGTTTTAATTATTCAAGGAGCCATTATCCGCCAAATAAAGTCCCCCGAAAGTGGTCATCGAACTTGGCCGAGCCCTTAAAGCATTTAACCCTGTGACTAAGTTTGAAGAAAATCGGGGGATCAGACGCTATACTCAGCAAGTGGCTGACTCCGTCATTAGTGGTCAGAGAGTGCAAAACCTTCAAATGACATATCCTCTGAAACTTTAGTAGATTTCCTCTATTTTCCCTTGAAATGACCATTAGATGTCAAGGATCAAAATCTATACTGAAACAGGACTTATGCTTTATGTTTAATTGTTTATTGCGTCTATGCTCTGTAAGAGCTTCCAATCAGCAACAACCAAGTATTTGTCAGGACCAATCTGATCATTCTTAGAAAGTTTCGGCGATATTGGTTCATTATAATTTGAGTTTGAGTTCCAAATAGGTATTCAAATGGCTGTCATGGCGGCCCCATAGGATTTCGAATATGTCCCGAAGTAAGAATTAAATGTCAGAACCATGAATACATCATTCCAATTAAGAGGAACTTTTTATTAAATCCTGAAAGGATTTTACAAATTGCTGTCATACCAGCGATATTTGTTCACTGCAGAATAATAAGTCAGTACCATGTGGCCACCTTTTCAATTAAATTTCAGCGAAAAAGATGAAGTAGTATATGATATTTATGATAAATACGTTAATAGTTCAAAAGGCAACTGACAAAAGCGGACAGCAATAACTCATCAGCTGAAAATGTTCAAGTATCACAAATAGCAGATATTTGCTTTTTTGTGATGATTTTATCTAGAATTAAAAACCTCTGCATAAAATACGTCTGTTACACATTTTACTATTTCTTTACATACGTATAAACAAGTAAAATCACACATCTTCATCAAAATAACAGTTGTTGAAATTACTTTTAATATACAATTCATTTTATGCCCCACTTTTTTACATTACCTGAAGTAAATAGTAGACCCTCCATCACCACATTGTCTTGCTGACTCTGACAGGCACAAAGCGGTGTAGTGTTATTAAGTATCCAGAACGTTAAAAACATGTACAATCAATCTTCTATCATACTAGGATTTCATTACAGAGAGTCCGCCACGTGTTCCTGTATGAGATGCACAGCAAATGAACGTTGACTCTGACAGGCACAAAGCGTTGTAATGTAATTAAGTATCCAGAACGTTAAAAACATGTACAATCAATCTTCTATCATACTAGGATTTCATTACAGAGAGTCCTCCACGTGTTCCTGTATGAGATGCACAGCAAATGAACGTTGTCAACCCATTTCTAGGAAAGTATGTTATATAGGAACACAATGTGGCTGGCAAAGCGTTTCAAGAGATAATTAATTATAATTCATTTATCAATCTATCAGGGTAAGAAAAATAGTTATTCACTTGGACATCATGATTAAAATATGTCGTCTCCATTTATACAGAAACAATGTCATCAAGAAAAAATACAGGTACCATTAGCCCACACAACTTAATGGATTATTTATTATTGACAATACGCCATTAATTTCAACAGCCTAGTAGTAAGATAATTATTCATTGCCCCATATACTTTGCTTGAATGGTTAAGCATTAGTGCCTAAGAAAAGTCCAACACGTTTTTGCGATGGCAGCTTGCCGACATTACCTTTTTCAGCCACCTCTTAAAGAATTAACATCAAAATACGGATATTAATTGAATACGGATATTAATTGAATCTATAAGTAAAATATTCGATCAATTGATTTATAGGTAAAGCACAAATATCAAATTAAACAAACGTTACTTTTCCTAATAAATATTCAATCTACGTCCGAGAGATGCATATGTGTTATGTTAGCAATAACAATACTTAAATAACAGCGACTGCTTATTAGTAGTACAATTATTTCAGAAAAGGCTCTGGTATCATTGACATTGTATAAATAACAATTCTATGTCAACTCAACTATCAAAATATCTATGCAAATATTTAAAAATACTTTATGATTTCAAAAAAAAACGCGAGAGATTTCATAATGAACTCTCTATGAAACGTTTATTTGATACAGTTTATGTGCAATCAATCTTTGATTATTAACATTCAAGTAATTAATCGGTATAATGATATATTTCATAAGCAATTCGTTTACTTTTTATGTCTTCTGACATCTTAACACATTTAAACCTTTTGTTTCTAGTTTTTATGTATTAGTTTTTTGTGAATGTCTATTTTGTTGTTTGGCCCTAGATGACTCAAATTGTCGATGGTCCGTAAAACAATAATAAAAAACTTATATAACAAAGCTAGATGATTTAAGGTCGGGAGTTAAATGTTGATGTTATAACTAAGTTTGGTACACATACAATACTTCTTACAAACTAATCCAATATACACTATATATAGTGAATCTTCCTTCAGTAATCAGATGCAATAACATACCTCTTAGTACATTGCCTGCGATTGTGAGCACAAAGGGAAACATCTGGCCACTGCCGATCTTTCGCCATATCTAGAACAAAACCGGCTGTTCAAATTCACATGAGCCAAGAGAGCTCTAGTCTGAATTTATGCAATGGACTAGGTCAATATGATAATATAACGGGGAAAATCGAGTGATCATTAATATAGCAAGATGGCTTTAGTAGTGCCCATTTGTTTTCTGCTCGTTCTTCTACACACATCCAAGGGTAGGTTGAATAATTTCATAAATATTTTCTACCATATCTGTTTTACGTTTTCTGGTTTCCCCATATCTACGGGAACAATTTACGCGTACATTTCAGTTCACAATCTATATTGATTGGTCTTAAAATTACATTATCGCTGCTAGTGACGACTTGCTTGTTATGGATAAGCGTTAATGATGATGTTATAACATAAAATTATATGTACATATATTCAATTTGCAACCAAACATTCGTTTTATACAATGTCTTTGTCTGTTTCTTTTTTAGGATAAACGTAAATCTGAAATAAATAATTTCATGAATAAGTTACATCTTTCCTTGTTTCTTGCTAGTATCTGGTGTAGCCTGCCCTAACGGATGGACAAGACATGACACATCGTGTTACTTCTTCGTGGACATGCAGGAATCATGGGAGGACGCATCTGTAATATGCTCTGTTATATCATACTCTTAGCTGTATTTTGTTTGATTGTTTAAAATCCTCTCAACATTTAAGGTCATATTACTGGCATTTCGACAAATATCGCTGACAAGAAAAAGTAGGAATAACGGAGTGATCCAAAATGCTCCTATGGGGGCAAGATAAATAATTACCCTTTTGGCGGGGGAGGGGGATATAAGTTGTCTCTTATAAAATGCATTGGGATACTTTTGGCTCTGGTTTTATTTGGTGTAATGACTTATGAACATATGGACTTGCATCTATGTCTGCCGAAGGCGGTATTGTAACAGTACGGATCTGATTCCGAGTTAATTGCTTGTTTGGTTTAATTTGTTTAATATTGTTTAACAGCTATTCATTTAAGGACGGCATCCCCTGTGTGCAAGATGCATGCGTAGTGTATGCTATCTCACTGCATTTCCACGCAGGAGGCACTAATCATAGTTGGTTGCACCAGGGTATGTTGGTGTAATTGCCTTCTTGTGATAGCACAGATCTGATGCCGACTTTATAGTGCTATTTCACTGAATTACTAAACTGCCAAAGGCATCCAGCACAGCAAAGTATTCCACCCTGTTGCATTACAACGACCACGGGTTAACCTTTTTGTTTTGGTGTGTGAAAACGCTTACTACATAAAGTAAATGTTTTATATTGAAGGCTCACTGCGAGGCATTCGACTCCCAACTAGCTGCCATTGAAACGGAGAGGGAAGATGTCTTTATTAGGAATACTCTCATTCATCTTCATGGTATCCAATTTTTTTTTATTGCATACTAGAGTTTTAATAATGTGATAATCATCAATTGTGTTATTTACGTCAACTTCATATTTAATTTCAAAAAAGTATCATTTAAATGAAACAAAAAAACTTCCTTATGGTTTTAACCTTTTGCCGTTTTACCGGAATATATTTACGGATGACATTTTTTAGGTATTTTAAATTAACAGCAAAACTCGTGTTGAAATAGCAGATTAAATAACAAAATAAAAGTTCTTTGACATACACAAAATAGGTAGCAAGTATATGTAAGGCGAAGCATTCGTATCAACGTAGTTAATTGTTGCATTTCTATTTGCTATCAAGTTACCACAAATATGAATATTAGTAGCATGGTTTACAAATCTTGACATTTTCATAGGCTTGAAAACGTAAGAGATAATCAACTATATTTGCGCTTCTGTCTTTTATATATAGTGCGGGCATTTGTTTAGGGGATTAATGACGTACAGTAAATATAAAAAGGGGAGATACAAAGATACCTTTGTAAGGGAAGAATATGGAATGTTTTAAGATAATTACGGATGTAGTGACACTAAATTATTTTACCGTTTTGTGTATATGTGTAATAATAGTATTAACCTGTAAATAGATGTCCTATTTTGAGGCTATCGCCTTGGAGTATTTATTAGTATTTTAAGAACAATTGCTTTTTAGGTCACCTGAGACAAAGTCTCAAGTGATCTATTGCGATCGCCTTTTGTCCGTCGCCGTCCGTCGTGCATCGTCCGTTGTGCGTCGGTAAACAATTTACATTTTCGACTTCTTCTCCAAATTTCAATGAAATTTTGGAGAAACCTTCCATGGCCAAAGGTAAAAAAAAATAGTGGCTGATTTGGTCCCCAGCCCCCAGGGGTATGACGGGCGGGGCCAAAAAGGGTCGAATTGACTTAAATTTCAAAATCTTCTTCTCAAGACCAAGATTTGGTAGAATCAATAACTCTTCAAAGATGGAAGGGACTTAAGGTGCTTTACCAAAAATTGTGAATTTCTTGACCCTGGGGTCCCACGTTCCCCCCCCCCCCCCTTTTGGACCAACGTTTGTTAAATTTCCGTTTGAAGTAATTCAATGTGAGTTAGCATTATCAGTATTGGATAGCAGTTTGATGGTATGCACATATCAGCCCTGATTGACCCCAAGGGGCTGATGGGTGGGGCCAAAAAGGGTCGAAGTGACTCAAATGTCTTAAAATCTTCTACTCAAGACCCAGATATGGTACAATCAAATACTCTCCATAAATGGAAGGGTCTAAAGGTGCTCAACCAAAATTGTGAATTTCATGACCCCGAAGTCTCACGTTTCCCCCGGGGAGGGGGTAAACTTTACTATAGTTTATATAGGGAAATCACATTTTGGACCAAAATTTGTTTAATTTCCATTGGAAGTAATTCAATTTGGGGTTAGCATTATCTGTCTTGGATAGCAGTTTGATGGTATGCACATATTAGCCCTGACTGACCACCAGGGGCTGATGGGTAGGGCAAAAAAGTGTCGAATTGACTGAAATTTCCAAAATCTTCTCCTCAAGACCCAGATACAGTAGAATCAAATGATATCTATAGATGGAAGGGTCTTAAGGTGCTTCACCAAAGTTGTGAATTTCATGACCCTGGGGAGGGGGTAAACTTTACTATAGTTGATATAGGGAAATCACATTTTGGACCAACATTTGTTTAATTTCCATTGGAAGTAATTTAATGATGGTTAGCATTATCTGTCTTGGATAGCAGTTTGATGGTATGCACATATTATCCCTGACTGACCACCAGGGGCTGATGGGTAGGGCAAAAAAAAGGTCGAATTGACTGAAATTTCAAAATCTTCTACTCAAGACCCAGATATGGTAGCATCAAATACTCTTCATAGATGGAAGGGTTTTAAGGTGCTCTACCAAAATTGTGAATTGTATGACCCGAGGGTCTCACAAATGTATTATGGCAAATGATACTTTGAATATTACATGTTGATAACTTGATTGGAATTATAACCCTGAGTTGACAGTTTGATACTTTGAACATTTTAAGCCAGCTCTATCCCCAAGGGCGCTCAAAGGAGTCGGTGTGCTAAAATTTCTTCATTTTCCTTGTTTAGAATGAGATGTGCTAATTTCAAATACTTTTCAGTCTTAAATCTGTATGCTAGATATTGAATAATGTTGAATAATCAGAACTCGGGTGACCGTTAAAGACCATGGGCCTCTTGTTTAGGTATTGCTATCGTTTACTTTTGTGTTCAGCGCATGACTCTAGTCCTTCCGTTAAGTACTGGACAGACGGGACCGATGTCGCCACTGAGACAGAGTGGATATGGGCTTACTCCGAGAAACCAATCCTTGATTACTCACACTGGTGTCCAAACCAACCAGATAACTTCAATTCCGACGAAGATTGTATGAGGCTGGCAAAATTCTGTGGATTCGGCTGGGACGACGGCAACTGTGAATCTAAACATTACTTCATCTGTGAAAGATACGACAAGGAGTAAGTCAACCATTGTCATTTTGAGTATCATACCCTACATACTGATGAATACTTATTAAATTAGGTAATGGTCTGAACATTATAATGAAATAAGCCATACAGAAATGCATATGTATAAGATACATATTCTCTAATCTGAAGATTATAAAACTAAGTCAGCAATTGCGAAAAATGACATTTTGAAAGCGTGTTGGACCATAATTCTAAGGTTTACATTGATCTGCGTCAAAGTTAATGATTCTGCGGTATTGATAAATTGTGCATTGATATTAAATGTGTTTCGAGTAGACATACATATGAATGGAATTGGGTGTCCGCAGGTTCATATGCAGACAAGAATACAACACCTAACTGTCCGCCGCTAAAATTTCCGGACATTCGTCATACTTATGTCAACCCAATATTGTTGTTATCGTGTTCTAAAAATAGCTGCTAAAACATTTAGGTTTGGTTTGTTTTTGTTTTAGTTTGTTAAACATCCTATTTACAGCTAAGGTTATTTAAGTACGTGCCTCATTGTTTGATGTGAATGTGATTGCCTCCTTGTGATAGAGCGGATCTGATGCCGACTTTATAGTGCTATCTTACTGAAATACCATGCCGAAGGAACCCAGCACAACATTCCGCCGGTCACATTATACTGTTATATATAAATCTGTTTGGTTGGGATTGTCCGAATTATAACTCAAATGATTGATCACACAAAGTTCAAACTTGGTCTTTAGCGTGCCTTTATGGATGCAAATATTTTATTTTGAGTGAGGTCTGCCAGAGGTTTAGGTAATATTTGCTAAAAAGATAACTTTGCCTCGTTTTGTTTCACCCGATAATAACTAATCATCATAGTTTTAACTTGGTGTATTATGAGTTTGTCCCATAATAACTTATTATGCGAAGTTTAAACATGGTGTATTCGATGCCCTAGTGATTGCAAAAAGGTATATTAATTACAAGTACAGAGGTCAAGTATTTTTGCTAAAAATAGGGATTTAATTTCTGGCAATGATAACTCGAAACTTATTGTCATACGAAATTCAAACTTAGTGCATGGGTAGCCCTAGGATATAACCTCCACTGTTCTGTAGTGTAACCCGTCTGCATTTTATACGCTGCGAAATAGTAGCATGTCCACATAGAACTATTGTTAAACAGATTGTACAGATTTGTGCACCTGTTCCTGCCATTATTGAACACAAATCCATGATAAGTCAATAGCAATACATGTACCTGATGTTTTCGGGGGATATGCTGACCTTGGCAGCTCTCATTATTTTCTGCTTGCTATTATTGGTTTTCTTTTAATCTTCCAGCATGTACACTATGACATAGGGGTTGTTCCCCTTTGAGCAGTTTTCGTATAAAGATAGGGTCAACGCCTATGGAGATTTAACATTAGCTTGGAATTTCAAAACAGGATTAATACAAAAAGTATTAGTATAGGAAGCTTAAATCAGGAACAGCTAGTTTGAGAATTCATTGTATGACAAATGGGACATCATTGACTTACACCTGTGTGCGGTAATACAACTCCTAGAGCATTTAAATGACACAATTACAATAAAATTATATTCCAACTATTATTTTGGCACAAATATTACACTATTTCAGGAAAGAACTGTTCTTTTTAGTGAAGATTTAAGCAGAAAAGTATGTGAGATTTCATTACTAACGAGAAAATTCCTATTTTTGACACGTTCATTTACATAGTTCTAAAACGAGTCTATTTTTCATGCAAAATGTGCACACATCCCAACTGTTCGCGTGCCTGCTGGATAGACACAGTAGTAATCTTTGACAGGGTCATCTTGGTCATTTCTATCAAACGCAATCATAACATTATATTTGGTCTGGGAATTTTGCCTGACATGGATTTGGCCTCGTATGAGGTTTTCAGCATTCTGATAGATCGTCACTTTAAAGTCCCCGGCCGTTGTCAGATGTTCTGCGATGTACATTGGCGCTATTTTTAGTTGGTGTGATCCGTACGTTACTGTCTCGAGATAGATACTCCATATCGAGTATGGGGAACTCGATTTAACAAGCGTCCAGCTACACCCAGTTGACCTTGTTGCCTCTAGAAAGGTCGGGCTCATCAGCTACCCTTGATGCCAAGGTATTGTGCACAGCAAAACGGGATTGCATGCGCTCAGCAAGGCGATTGCGCTCAAATCCCTCTCTGGTGTACTCACATATTTCGGTCCACGTGTAGCATTTAAAGAAGCTGTAGCTACTTTTACCAGTTCCGCTATGATGCTGAGGAAGTAGTTTGAACCGAGTTGCTCTTTGAACAGTTCCCACTGTTTCAATCGACCATAGTTACTCTCCGCTACCCATCTGGATTTTGCAAACTGGCGGTCCTAGTTCGCTATCAGTCTGACCTGCAGAAGATAAGAAGGCATGTACACACAAAAACCTGAAACTTGCAGCAGGTACAACACATTCCTAAACCCCCGGTCAACAATGACATTGCCCTCATCACTGAGTCACAAGTTGAGGCTTTAAACGGTTGCAAGTGTTTTGTCAGGATCTTTGCATCAATTTCATTAATGTTGGGACGATTGTCGCTAATAATCGAAAACTATCGCTCAGGTGTGACGTCGGCGACGATCGATTGAAAACTTGTCACTATCAATAGTTCGAAAATATCCTTCACGGTAATTAATACGACGGAACTATGGGAAAGGAGATCACTCTCGCTGTCGCCTCGTGGTCATGATTAAAAATGGCAGCCACCGCTGATGTAAGTAACGACGACGAATTGCAATTGTATCCCTATCCAGGGACAGTTAAATCAGCCGTATGAAAATAGTTCATGTTCCGAAAAAAAAAGTTCAGTGGAACCTGCAATAAAATCACATTTAGACATGACAACTTGTCATTTGTAGGCTATGCAAGAAAAGCTACGCCAACAAAGGTACATACGATATAAATTACACCGATATAAGTTAGTATCTTAAAGCTTTGTGAAATAAAAAAAATCTGAATTGCCAAGTATTTTGAAATCGTTGATTGATACACAAAACTAATAACAAATTTCTTCGAAATGACATACTTCTAAAGAGGCCCCGCCCCCTACACCCTAAAGAAGAAGGTCATTGTCGTTAGCTGATTGACTGACTGTTGAAAATCGACAAATGAAGTAATTTTTTAACACTTTGTAGTTTGTATTTTCTCAACCTAAAATCTTACGTTTATAGTCATGATGCACACATGCAAATAAAGTATTAGTGAGTACTGAACATGTTTAAGTAAGTACTATTACAAAGCCATCAACTCACCTTGCAGTTATGTTACATGCAGGTTAGCAATCTACAGAGGGTCACTAAAGGCCAAAAGGTGCATACAGAAGCAGTAAAGCATACTACAGAATGATAAAGGAGTACTAGCTAGTGCAGTCTGAAGCAAAATAAGTGTTATTGTGTTAATGTACACTTAAAAAAATGTAATTTAAAACCAAAACAACACAAGTATACATTAGGAAACTACACAATACAACAAATACATATTGCTTATATATATATGGAGGGCTTTGTGTTTGTTTCAGTAACAACCCAATTTCTTCATTGTTAGCTCACCTGGTCCGAAGGACCAAGTTGAGCTTATGCCATACCGTTGCGTCCGGGGATTTAAAATTGTACAAATGGTGGGACTGACCCCCAAGAGGGCTGAGAGGTGGCGCCAAAAGGGGTCAATTTGGCTATATTGCTTTAAGCAGCCTCTTCTCTGGAACTAAGAAGTGGATATCAACCATATTTGACTCGAAGCGTCCCTAGGTGGTGGGGATTCAAAATTTGGCTATACTGCTTTCAGCGACTTCTTCTCTGGAACTGATAGTTTGTGCTGTGTGAGGAAAAGTGGTTGCGCATGGTTGCGCATGCGTCGTTCATATATACCGAGCTGCATGCACAACCCCAGGTTTACGTTCTTTCACTCAGGTGTGACATAAACATGCTCACATACATGTGGCTAAGCCTATGTATTGGGTGACCCTAGATATAACTATACACTCAGTGTACATACTCCCCCGCCAAGTGAAATGACTCCAGGCATTTCCAATTCTAGGTATACCCCAAAACAATTTAATAAATAAAATGTATTTGTAATACTCTAGTTTGAAATAACACCACTATCCCTGCATAAAATACAATGAAGTTTTGGATAAACTATGGAACATTATGTGTTAACCTTAGATACCCAAAGATCATCTAGTTGCAATTTACATAAATTAGAGCAGAGCTACTGGGCTTGGGATAAATTTACCAAGAAACAACTGGGAACATAACTTATATAATAACATTTTTACAAATGATAGGTTACGTATACCTTTGGAGGAATGGATATAATTGTGGACGTCCTATGTTCCTAACCCACTCTATTGCATGTTTTGGTGTTAATAGCCATTTGGGAAAATATTATAATTAATATTTTTCAAAAGCACTTTTACAAGTACATGATATGTATCTCAACTTAAAGATTAGAGTACACTTTCACAGTACTGATACTCGGGATCAGACTACTATCTATAACAATATGATAAAACACAAGTGGTAAGAATAATCAACAGGTAATCAAAGGGATGAAACTCTTTGGCAGTTGTAAAACTGTCATAACCCACCAGGAAACACTGCTGGATTTAAAATATAGGCAATGAGTTGGTAAAATACATACGAATCATAATTCCTGGGAATCTAACAATGGAGAGGTTGGGGATACCCATACCGTCTCCTGTTTAGACCCAGAAAGTACATATTTAAGATACAACAGGTTTATATATATTAAAAACAAGACAAGTATTTTTAGATAGTTCAGAAACCAACCTGTTACACGAATATTTCGTTGTGAATATCACGGCAACATACAGCTTGTAAAGGAAATACCTAGTTCCCGTAGCGATCAGGAGGGTTACGTTCTCGATTAGAGCGTCTGACCCCTGTGGTGTAACAGGGTCAATGGTGCTTACCTCATGAATACTGGGTTCAATACCAGTGTGATCACTATAG